ATCGGGGTGTTCTTGTGAGCTTGTCCAATCCGGAATCCAGCTTCATTTGGACTACAAAGCCCATGCGACGCCTTCTGCAGCAAGTGCCAATGTTTGTTACTTCGTCCCACTTGTGTAGCTTCGCTTCGCCCTTTAAGAAGGCCATGAAAATCTTGCATACCCTGCCGAGGTTCCTTGAATTGCATAAGCCGTGCTCAGGAGGTCGTCCGCACAAGTTTTATGCAAAGGGAGTCAAAACTTTCTTTGATCGTGACATGGATTTCCCTTGGAGCCTTTGTCAATCGATGGCGCAATTGCTGCAGGATCAATTGCTTGACATGGGGGCAAAGCCGTTGCCTCAAGACCTTGCGCGTTCTAATGTCACAGTTGCTGCAGCTCGAGCTGCAGCCGGGTGGCAAAGCAATAAGAGGGTCTTGCCTTTGGTTTCGGAGTTCAAACATGTGGTTCATGTCAGTGGCACGTTTGATGCATCGTTCGTGCAGTCTCTTCATGTGGGCAGCAAGCTGGCAGCAGAGTGGACGGTGCCAGCCACGTCCACGGCAACTCCGTGTTATGTTGCATCTGTGCCGTCAGGGTCTAAAGTGCTTCGCATCCTAACCAAGCCGGGGGAAAGTGCAGAGGATGCTAATTCCCGTGCCGGGCACTCTAAGCCGGCATGTCCTTGTCTTCAGCCGCCATCTGAAGATTCACATCCTGCTGAGAAATGTGCCTACGGGATGTGCCAGCAGAGCCGACCTTTTGGGGATGATGAGTTCCGGACTTTTCTTGATATGCTACCCATGAAACAGCAAAAGAGGGGACGAGGTGACACCGATGATTATTCCAATCAGTTCTTGTGTGGGGCCTACGCACATGGGCCGATGATTGGATGTAAAAATCTTACGCGTGAAATGCCTTGGTGTGCAGCTGTGTTGTGCAGGCATGTTAGAGAACGGGCCCCTGGTTTCCCGTTTTCTGCTGTGGGCTTTCTGTTTAACGTAAAGGCTAAAGCTCATAGAGATTTGCACAACGAGCCTGAGCCTGGCACCAAAAACCTTGTCATGGCTACGCATGCTTGCTCAGGCGGAGGACTTTGGCTCGAGGACGCCGGCGGGCGTGTGGCCGTCGACGTCGGGCAAGGTTGCCGAGTAGGCAAGAATCACACCCTAGCCGTTGGCAGGCCTTTCACTTTTGAACCGCGCAAGTGGCATGCTACTCAACTGTGGCGCGGGGATCGTGGGATCGTCGTGGCCTATACGCCAGCAGGTGTGACCAGGCTCGGCGACGCGGACAGTGCTTTCTTGCAAGGCTTAGGTTTTCCTTTGAGGTGCATGCCGAGCCAGCCGACAGCTCCCGAGGGTTCAACTGGAACCGGCGGTTCGGCCGACGCACATAAAGGCAGCCTTTCCTTCGGTGTCTACCATGCGCCTCAGGAGTTTGTTGCAAAGGCACTGTCGGAGCAACACCCATGCCACTTGGAAAGTTTGCTGCCTGCTGAGTTGGTTCAGGCAATCCGGGTGAACCACTCTAAGAGTGCTGCCGTGCTTGGGCAAGAGCGTACTGAGACGCTTCGCAAGTGGGTAGAGCGTGCATCCGAGTTAAGCGCAGACGAGGAACAGCTCAAAAATTCCTTTAGCCCTCACCGTCAAAAGATCCTGCACTCAAAGCGGTTGCTCTTGATGAAGGAGATGTTGGATAGTGTTGGGCATGAGGATGAAGATCTGGTCTCCGATCTGTCGACAGGCTTTGACTTGACAGGACCGCTGCCGCGGTCCCATGTCTTCAGGGACAAGTATCGTCCAGCGGCGATGGCCGAAGAGACTTTGAGAAAAAGTGCTAGGATAGTTAGGGGTCAGGTTTTAGGTGCCGTGAAAAGTTCAGGCGACGAGGTTGTGGACCAAGGAGTGCTTGCTGCAACAGAAAAGGAGCTTGCGAAGGGGTTCGTGGAAGGCCCGGTCCCCGAGTCTAGCATTCCGCCTGATGGAACGATCACGCATCGTTTCGGCGTGGTGCAAGGCCAAACTGACGAAGGCCCTAAGATTCGCCCTATCGATAACTACCTTAGCTCTCTCGTCAACGCGGTCGTCTCTCAGAGCGAGCAGGTGCCTGT